ATTTGTCTTCACTGAGTGACTGCGTGTTCTGTTTGGCTTCACAATATCTTCCTACCTGATCCTTACTACCTAGCTGCTATTAGTCTTTGTGCTTTCACTTCATTGAATACTTGACTATGGTTTGCCTAGTGTAGTCTACCTTCCGCTGCATGGTAATAGGTTTAATTTTATCGTTTGTCTTCAAAACTCCCATGTTCTGAAGACTTTCATAAAAATCGCCTATTCACCCCCCCTCTAGTCGATATAACGCACTTTCATATACCTTTGTTCACTTTGCCATCCTTCTTATCCGCCAAATACTTGGGACAGTTCCGCTTCCAGTGACCAGTCCCTTTGTAGTAGAAGCACTTAGTCTCAGGCTTAGGACCAGACTTGGGCTTCTTCACTTGAGCAGCAACTTGCTTGCCGTTCTTCTTGAAGTCCCCCTTTCTTTCCCTTTGCCCTTTTCTTGAAACTAGTGGTCTTGTTAATCATGAACACTTGATGCTCTTTCTTGATTTCTACCTTCATCGATTTCATCATCATGAAAAGCTCGGGAATCGTTTTCATCATCCTTTGCATACTATAGTTCATCACAAAGTTCTACTAACTTGGTGGTGGTGACTAGAGAATTCTGTCAATCACTATTTTATCTGGAAGATTAACTCCCACTTGATTCAAGTGATTGTAGTACCCAGAAAATCTGAACACATGCTCACTGCTTGAGCTATTCTCCTCCATCTTTTAGCTATAGAACTTGTTGGAGAATTCATATCTCTCAACTCAGGTATTTGCCTGAAATATTAACTTCAACTCCTGGAACATCCATATGATCCATGACGTTCAAAACGTCTTTGAAGTCCCGATTCTAAGCTGTTAAGCATGGTGCACTAAACTATCAAGTAGTCATCATATTGAGCTAGCCAAATGTTTATGACGTCTGCATCTGCTCCTGCAATAGGTCTGTCACCTAGCGGTGCATTAAGGACATAATTCTTCTGTGCATCAATGAGGAGAAACCTTAGATCACGGATCCAATCCGCATCATTGCTACTAACATCTTTCAACTTAGTTTTCTCTAGGAACATATCAAAAATAAAACAGGGGAGCTAAACGCGAGCTTTTAATCTATAACATAGATATGCTAATACTACCAGGACTAAGTTTATGATAAATTAAAGTTCAATTAATCATATTATTTAAGAACTCCCACTTAGATAGACATCCCTCTAATCATCTAAGTGATCACGTGATCCATATCAACTAAACCATAACCGATCATCATGTGAAATGGAGTAGTTTTCAATGGTGAACATCATTATGTTGATCATATCTACTATATGATTCACGCTCTACCTTTTGGTCTCCAGTGTTCTGAGGCCATATCTGCATGTGCTAGGCTCGTCAAGTTTAACCCGAGTATTTCTGCGTGTGCAAAACTGGCTTGCACCCGTTGTAGATGGACGTAGAGCTTATCACACCCGATCATCACATGGTGTCTGGGCACGACGAACTTTGGCAATGGTGCATACTCAAGGAGAACACTTTTATCTTGAAATTTAGTGAGAGATCATCTTATAATGCTACCGTCATAACTAAGCAAAGTAAGATGTATAAAAGATAAACATCACATGCAATCATAATATGTGACATGATATGGCCATCATCATCTTGTGCCTTTGATCTCCATCTCCAAAGCATCGTCATGATCTCCATCGTCACCGGCATGACACCATGATCTCCATCATCTTGATCTATATCAATGTGTCGTCACATGGTCGTCTCGCCAACTATTGCTCTTGCAACTATTGCTATCGCATAGCGATAATTGTAAAGCAATTATTTGGCGCTTGCATCTTATGCAATAAAGAGACAACCATAAGGCTTCTGCCAGTTGCCGATAACTTCAACAAAACATGATCATCTTATACAACAACTTATATCTCATCACGTCTTGACCATATCACATCACAACATGCCCTGCAAAAACAAGTTAGACATCCTCTACTTTGTTGTTGCAAGTTTTACGTGGCTGCTACAGGCTTAGCATGAACCGTTCTTACCTACGCATCAAAACCACAACGATAGTTTGTGCAGTTGGTGCTGTTTTAACCTTCTCAAGGACCGGGCGTAGCCACACTCAGTTCAACTAAAGTTGGAGAAACTGACACCCGCTAGTCACCTGTGTGCATAGCACGACGATAAAACCAGTCTCGCGTAAGCGTACGCGTAATGTCGGTCCGGACCGCTTCATCCAACAATACCACCGAACCAAAGTGTGACATGCTGGTAAGCAGTATGACTTATATCGCCCACAACATACTTGTGTTCTACTCGTGCACAACATCAACGCATAAAACCTAGGCTCGGATGCCACTGTTGGGGAACGTAGTAATTTCAAAAAAATTCCTACGTACACGCAAGATCATGGTGATGCATAGCAACGAGAGGGGAGAGTGTTGTCCACGTACCCTCGTAGACCGAAAGCGGAAGCGTTAGCATAACGCGGTTGATGTAGTCGTACGTCTTCACGATCCGACCGGTCCAAGTACCGAACGCACGACACCTCCGAGTTTAGCACACGTTCAGCTCGATGACGTCCCGCGAACTTCGATCCAGCAGAGCTTCATGGAAGAGTTCCGTCAGCACGACGGCGTGGTGACGGTGATGATGTTGCTACCAACGCAGGGCTTCGCCTAAGCACCGCTACGATATGACCGAGGTGGAATATGGTGGAGGGGGGGCACCGCACACGGCTGGGAGAGATCAACTGATCAACTTGTTGTCTATGGGGTGCCCCCTGGCCACGTATATAAAGGAGTGGAGGAGGGGGAGGGCCGGCCCTCTCTATGGCGCACCCTAGGGGAGTCCTACTCCCACCGGGAGTAGGATTCCCCCTTTCCTAGTAGAACTAGGATCCCTTCCAAGTAGTAGGAGTAGGAGAGAAGGAAAGGGAAGGGAAAATGAGAAGGAAGGAAGTGCCTCCCTCCCTAGTCCAATTCGGACCAGCCCATGGGGAGGGGTGCGGCCACCCTTTGAGGCCTTTCTCTCCTTGCCCGTATGGCCCATTAAGGCCCAATACGAATTCCCGTAACTCCCCTGTACTCCTGAAAATACCCGAATCACTCGGAACCTTTCCGATGTCCGAATATAGTCGTCCAATATTCGATCTTTACATCTCGACCATTTCGAGACTCCTCGTCATGTCGCCGATCTCATCCGGGACTCCGAACTCCTTCGGTACATCAAAACACATAAACTCATAATATAACCGTCATCGAACTTTAAGCGTGCGGATCCTACGGGTTCGAGAACTATGTAGACATGACCGAGACACGTCTCTGGTCAATAACCAATAGCGGAACCTGGATGCTCATATTGGCTCCTACATATTCTACGAAGATCTTTATCGGTCAAACCGCATAACAACATACGTTGTTCCCTTTGTCATCGGTATGTTACTTGCCCGAGATTCGATCGTCGGTATCTCAATACCTAGTTCAATGTCGTTACCGGCAAGTCCCTTTACTCGTTTCGTACCACATCATCCCGCAACTAACTCATTAGTTGCAATGCTTGCAAGGCTTATAGTGATGTGCATTACCGAGTGGGCCCAGAGATACCTCTCCGACAATCGGAGTGACAAATCCTAATCTCGAAATACACCAACCCAATAAATACCTTTGGAGACACCTGTAGAGCACCTTTATAATCACCCAGTAACGTTGTGACGTTTGGTAGCACACAAAGTGTTCCTCCGGTAAACGGGAGTTGCATAATCTCATAGTCATAGGAACATGTATAAGTCATGAAGAAAGCAATAGCAACAAACTAAACGATCAAGTGCTAAGCTAACGGAATGAGTCAAGTCAATCACATCATTCTCCTAATGATGTGATCCCGTTAATCAAATGACAACTCATGTCTATGGTTAGGAAACATAACCATCTTTGATCAACGAGCTAGTCAAGTAGAGGCATACTAGTGACACTCTGTTTGTCTATGTATTCACATATGTATTATGTTTCCGGTTAATACAATTCTAGCATGAATAATAAACATTTATCATGATATAAGGAAATAAATAATAACTTTATTATTGCCTCTAGGGCATATTTCCTTCAAAAATATGGGCCATATGGCCCATAGGAGGGAGGCAAGCCAGCCCACAAGGGGTGGCGTCCCCCCAAGGGAGGAGTCCGAATTGGACTAGGGGAGGGGGCGGCGCCCCCCTTTCCTTCCCCTCCTCTCTCTCCTCCTCCCTTTCCCCTTCCGGTAAAAGGAAAGGGGTGAGGGGCGAATCCTACTAGGATCCCAAGTGGGACTCCTCCCACTTGGGGCATGCCTAGGGCCTGCCTCCCCTCTCCCTCCTTTATATACGGGGGTGGGGGCGCCTCTAAGACACATTAATTGTTTCAAGCCGTGTGCAGCGCCTCCCTCCACAGTTTACTTCTCCGGTCATATTCACGTAGTGCTTAGGCGAAGCCCTGCACGGATCACTTGACCATCACCGTCACCACGTTGTCGTGCTGACGGAACTCTTCCTCGACACTTTGCTGGATAAAGAGTTTGAGGGATGTCATCGAGCTGAACGTGTGCAGAACTCGGAGGTGCCGTACGTTCGGTGCTTGATCGGTTGAATCGAGAAGACGTTCGATCACATCAACCGCGTTAAGATAACGCTTCCGCTTTCGGTCTACAAGGATACATCCATGGACACACTCTCCCCCTATTGTTGCTATGCATCTCCTAGATATATCTTGCGTGAGCGTAGAATTTTTTTTGAAATTGCATATTGCGTTCCCTAACATTAAACCATTATGATGATCCATATGCGTCGATATACTATTGTCCTGTCTCATGGATAATAGACCCAGACAACTTGAGAAGGCCAAACACCCACCTATAACTGGATCCCACACAATAATAGTCGACGATGGCACCAAAGTATGTTTGATTATTACAACAGATTTTCATGTTTTCGTCCGGGACATGTGCATACATCCATCGACACCATAAAATTACTTATATTTCTCAGCAATGTCGAGGATACACTTGACAACCTGTTCAGGTGCCGAGAGCATCGCCATATGATCTGCACCGTCGATCTCTCTGACCTCGTCCACCGGGTTTTTGGCCACCATCAACATTTGGTATGCCTCTGGTATGGTTACATCTTGCTTGCATACTACATAGACCTTGCGGACCGAGCCGTAGCGTTCCTCGGTGAATGGCTGACGGGCTTGCAGGTCTTCCAGGAACAATGAGCCGACTCGCATGAGAGATTTCGCAAGGGTGATGTCCTGCATGCCGGATTCATTAGCAAATCTCTTAATTAGGAGATGTATTACAATCTGGTTCTTGTATCAAACAAAAACGACCCATTTTTGCTCTCCTTGGACATTGACATACCTCTGATGAGCACAACTGATAGAGCTTTTGTTGTATAAATTGCGGCCCGAACATGAAGGAAGCCGGGAGTCTTCCATCTGCATCTTGGGGTTTCATCCCGTTGTCCAACAGGGATACCCAGTTGCCCTCACCATGCTACGGGGAAGAGAGAAGAAGGTAAGTAATGCATGTGCATCAGCAATTAACAAAGTGGTGTATTGCCTTGTAAATAAATTAGACCATATGGGAATCTTTTGTAGAACCATGAAGACGTTGTTACTACATCCACAAATAGGAAGCATGCACCATATATTTCTGGCTAAATCTGAGAATGGTTTCATACTTAAACTATACTTAAACCTTACCTGTATATATCTCTCTCAAAACCATACTTGAGCCATACCCGTTTAATGCCATTTTCAGCTCAACCAAAACTAAACCCTCTATTTTTTTCACCCAAACCAATTTAAACCCAATACATAACTATGGGTTTACTTCAATGTATATATGATTGCACAAATCAACATGTTAAGAAGCGAATGACATAGAAAAGGCATAAGTGCATCTACAACAATTTGTGAACAAAGTTATCGTTGAGATACGGTCAACACACAGCAAGAGTCAAAAAGACAATACGCACGACTGAAAAGCTCACTGACAAGTGTATTAAAACCAATTGCTTAGCTAAAGCACAAGCAAACACATTCGATTGCATGTGGTGTTTCCCCATAATACATAATTACATAGTGCATCGCAACATATACACGGATCAAAGATACTTGTTGTCGATGCGTCGTTGCCTATTGCACATAACCAATGGCCAGAAACCGCTTTGGACCCATAGTTTATTGTCGTTAATAAGCAAACTGTTTAAGCCCATAACCAACTATACCCAAATTGGTTTCTTCACATACCCAAACCAAAACCAAACTAAAAAAGTTTCAGCCCAATAAAACCTGAACCAATCAAACCCAAAGTAAGAACCGAACCATTTCACCCAGTTTTTTAATAACCATTCTCAGGTTTATTTCTGGCACATATCTCCTGAAGTGTCAGAGTAGCATGGTGAGGGCAACTGGGTATCCCCGTTGCACAAATAGGAACCATGCATTGGGATCTGGCCCAGCCCCCGCGTAGTCCTCCCCGGGCGACTCGGGCGGCGGCAAACACGCCCGCTCGAGGTCTCCTTCCTCGTGCCCTCTCTCCCCTCGCCGCCGCCTCATGGTCTTTGTCGGGCAAAGCGTGCACGGATCCGGTGGCGGCGGGGCTCTGGCGTCCTTGGTTGGCTGACATTGAGTTGGGGGCTTTTGCGGTGGCTAGCGGTGTTGCGCTCCTCTGCGCAGGTTGTAGGTGCCTGGGGCGGTGGGAGGATGGTGGCAGTTGCGTGCGTGCTGCAGCACGTGGAGGTATCGATCCCCCTGATCTGATCTGGATCTGGTTGGGTTGGTGCTCGACCCATGGCCGTGGTCAGGCGACGACGGGCTAGGTGCGTGCATGCTGCAACACGTGGAGGTACCGATCCCCCCGATCTGGTCTGGATCTGGATGGGTTGGTGCTTGGACCATGGCTGCAGTCGGGCGGCGTCGAGCTGGATCGGGGTGGTGTGGGGGGCTGCTGCTGTGATATTGAAGGCGGTGATCCTCGTGCTTCTCTCGCATCACGACAACATCCTACATGATCGATCCTCTTAGATCTGGTCATCGATGTGTTTCAGAACTACTGCCAGAGATATTGCCCAAGATATCTGGATCGGATAGAATTCGGTCGTGCATGTCCATTTCAGCCTACGAGGTTCCATGAGGGCGTGATGCTAAGCTCTGTTTTTTGTTGACACCAAGGGACATGTCGGCTTCTCAATTTCTATGGTGTAGACAAATGTGGAGAAGGTCATGGTGGTTGAGATCGGAGGATCAATTAGACGGGCAAGGCCTTCGAGGCCATGGAGTTAGCCAGTTAGCCAGGTGTTTGATAATTCTTAGGAGCAACAGTGTCAAATGGGGGCGGCAGCACTGGAGGTTTTCATTTTGGTGGTGCTCCTCGGGTGAAAACCTAAGTTCTGGCCTTCATTGGTTGTGCCCGGCAATGCCTTGCTGAAGGAATTGTTTTGAGAGCTCGGACTTCTCCAGGGTGAAAACCTAAGATATTGAATCGGTCAATGACGGTGCTTGTGCACTGTTTCCTTCTTGAAGGCGTTGCTTTTGGAGACCTTTTATGTTTTTCGGGTGTTGTATTTGGTGGTGGTTTGTCTGCAGCTGCTGAGAGGAGTCCATCACTATGGCGGGACCTTTATTTTTTTTCCTTTGGTTGTGTGCATCCAGGATGTCTTTCCGACATCTTATAAATGCCGAGACCGGATGTAATTGATATCTTCGTGATATTAATATATTTCTCTTTTATTTTAAAAAAGAGCCATGCATTGGTACATGCACAAACAGGAACCATGCACCGTACATTCTAATGAATGGTGCGGACTATGATGCTGCGTGTGTTGTAAGCCTTGACCACCATTTCATCCAGAAATTTTGCTAAACCATATAGTATGACTTAGAACGTGATAGTTTTCATGAAAAACTGAACCTAATAAGCTCTCGTTTAACATGGCCAAAATCCTAACTGCACACTTATGATGTCAAGAGATTTCCACATGCCGGGGGTTGTAATTCTTGCAACTTAAGTAAATTTCATGTACGTCTAAATTGCATCCGAGTTCTATTTATATCAAACTTACGCATGGTGGACTGCAGGTTGAGTTTGAACAATGTTCCTTTTGTAAATATAACAAAGAAGTCCCATAGATGAGTTATGGGTGGATGCGAGTTAATCTTGCTAAATGTAAGGGTTTTTGTACACCATTTCAAAAACAAGGTTTTTGTTTTGCAAAAATGACAATAACCGACAAAATGAATCTCAACGGTATAGATTTTGGGCTCAAATGTCACCGGGTTCTAGAAATCCAAACAATAATTTGTAATGATCTTTGTCATCTGACTCCTAGTCCCTCCACAGTTTATGTGACAAACATGTGCATATGCGCGTCACAGGGTGTGCAATTTGCTTTTATCCAATCTCACTAAAGTGGCAAGACATGGTTTTCCTTTTCATATTTGGGCGCTAATCAATACATCTCCCCCTCGTTGTTCTCGTCCATCCCTTAACATCTTCATCTCCAGATAAAGGACAAGTATCGTCATTGGGACCGAGGTGGGAGAATAATGAAGTAGCAAAAAAAATCATCTCTCAAGTCTTTCTGGGCAAACTTCCAAAAACAATTTAGAAGATCATTGTAGAAAAATGGGGACAGGGCGAAATATATAACAAAACCATAACTAGCAAATAGAGGGTTAAACTAGACTATATCTTTATGAACTTTCAAAAACTCATGATCCCACACCGAGCTCTTCAAAAGAAGAAGAAGATGTTTAGAAAAACAAGAACCAACTTTTAAGTTGAATAAGTTTTTTTACTATTCAATTATTTTATTGGAAATAGCAGCCTGTAAAATTTGGCCAACCCCATCTTATACAAGCAATAAGGTAAAATGCCGATGACAGAGGTTGAGGTATGATGGAGAGGAAGCGAAAGGATACCCTCATGATGCTGGAATTCGTGGCGGCACACCCTAGCCCTAACGTGTGTAGAACACACTAAAAAAATACCGTGCCATAGCGTACTGAGGAATGACTCGCTAAATTAATCAGTATAATGTCGTGCTAATAGCGTATTTTAAGGCCGATGCTATTTTGCTATAGTACACTATTTTTTTTTCATTGGTAGGATATGGTGACACGGAGGAAACTAAGGTGTCTCTCCATCAATCGAACAACAAAAGAAGGATGGACCATGAGAAATGTTTAGCAATGGAGATAGACATATAAGAGGCCCGCCCTCGAGACATGAGAGAAACAAGAGGACGTGAAATAAGTAAATGCATCGCCGACAGTTTGAGTTAATAAAAGTGATATTGGTAGTCGTTTGTAGTCGCGAACGAGTCCAATCACCGCAGACAGGTATAACCTGAGCATATAAGATTCCGATCGTCCTATACAAGATTACAATTTTTGTTGTGTGCCTATAGATGATAGCTTTGAAGTATCTTGATGTAATCCTGATTGAAAATTTTGTTCTTATTCCAGTTAGTCGGTTTGATGTACTATATATTTTTAGTTATAAGCAATAAATTCATACTGTTTGCTCAAAAGGTACAGTGCTTTCGGCTCACAAAAAAGGAGTACAGTGCTTACTCCCCTAAACTGTGCAGCTCATGTACGATTTTTCAAATACTGTAGAAAAAAAGTACCATGTTGTCTACAGAGTAATTTTGAAAACTGTGGAAGAGTATCTATCAGGTGAGTAGGTGACAGCTTGCAACTGATATTCGATCATTTGACAATTAGGCTTTTTTGTTATGTACCACTAAGACGTGAGGGAGTATATATCTATCTGAGGGTTACCGATTGAGAAAGTAGCTCAAGCCCGGCCCTCGCGTCGTCCCCTTGGGCCAGCATATGCAATGTCCGTCTTTAAAATTCCTAAAAAGATTTGCAAAGAAATCATAGACGTGTTGTCACAATTTTGGTGAGGTGACGAGGACAATCAGAAAAGGATGCACTGGATGGCATGGTGGAAGATGTGTGTTCTAAAAGAACAAGGAGGAATGGGTTTCCGTGATATACACTGTTTTAACCTGGCTTTATTAGCGAAGCAAGCATGGCGTCTCGTGGATAATCCTGAATCATTATGTGCAACAATCCTAAGAGCCAAGTATTTTCCCGGAGGTGATTTGATGAACGCAATATTAAAGAAGGGCTCTTCCTTTACTTGACAAAGCATTATGACGGGAGTGGACTCTCTAAAAAATGGCTATATATGGAGAGTGGGAACAGGAGAAATATTAATATATGGAGAGATGCATAGATCCCAAATTGTGCGGACAGGAAAATTATTACACCTAGAAGGGGGAATCTATTGACGAAAGTTTCTGATCTTATTAACCTAGTCACTAATGGCTGAGATGAAGATTTGGTGAGACAAACTCTATGGCCAATTGATGTCCGTAGAGTCCTAGCGACCCCGATCTCTATGCATAATATGTCGGACTTTATTGCGTGGAGCTATACAACAAATGGTTTATTCACTGGACGATCAGCTTATGTGGAGGAATGGAATAACCAACATGCGAGGAAGTTGGAATACTCGAATGGCATGGGTAGAAGCAAGGTCAATTCTATTTGGGGTAAGATCTGTAAATTAGCTTGTCCGGCGAAGGTTAAAATTTTTATTTGGCGGACGCTTCACGGGACTCTACCGTGTCGTTCTTACATTGGTCAACAGACATATAAAAACTCAGCCAATATGCCCAGCATGTTTGGACAAGCCAGAGGACACGAAACATATATTATTTCTGTGCCAGAAGGCAAAAGAAGTGTGGGAACATTTGGGGTTGTATAAAGTGGTAAAAAAAGCCCGTGTCGTTGATCGTGCAGGAGAGGCAGTCCTTGAATTCCTACTCCTTATGCCTGATCATGAACTACCCATCTTGGGCTCCCGAAATGCAGGGGAACTTATTGCTATAGCTGCTTGGTATTTATGGTGGAATAGACGAAAACTAGTCCATGAGGGTAAGTCTCAAGAGGCGTCCCAAACCTTGATGGGGATTCGGGCTCTAACATCGAACTATGTAAATGTCCACTCTACTAAAGCAAAGAGAAAGAATGAAGGATGGTGCAGACCTCCTAAGGGTTTCGTTAAATTGAACGTGGATGCTTCTTTTGATCATGATCAACTAAGAGGCACAACGGGTGCTGTTATCAGAGATGACAAAGGAAACTTCATAGTAGGTGGTAACTGGAGGATTCAGTACTGTGTGGATGCCCTGACAGCAGAGGCGGTAGCACTCAGATTTGGTTTACTATTGGCACAAAAGACGGGCTGCAATCGTCTAATTATCAATTATGATAATATGGAGATCATCGACACAATGAAGAACGGAGGACAGTCTACGGGGCCAGCTGCTGCAACTTTTGAGAATTGTTTTTTTATGGCCTGTGATTTTCCTCAAACCAGTTTTGAACATTGTAACAGGGAAGCGAATAAAGTAGCTCATGAGCTTGCTAGATTAGCAAAAGGTTCCATGACTAGGGATTGGATAGAGGAGCCCATGAAAGATATTCTCTCTTGATAGACGATGTAACAATTATTTCTAATTAATAAAGTTAAGTTGTTTTTCGAAAAAACTAGGGGGCGACTAGGGTTCAGCCGCCGCCACCACCCCCTCCCCCCCTCGCCGCTACCAGAGACGGCCGCCAGGAAGCCCGCGCGGACGCCGGTGAAGGTGGCGGCGGGGATCTCGGCGCTCCTCCTCCTTTTGG